AGAGTCCGCTCTCTTTCTCGAAATGCTCTCACATGGTCACGCGTATATAGCCTCTGCCAGGGAAGTCCTACTCACTGCCTTCTCGTGGCGGGGGTGTTGTTTACGAAAATGAGAGGACGAAAAGCGAATGTCCGGCGCTTTAACCGGATTCCAAACCAATGGTGCACATGGGCTCCAGTATCTTGCGAGAACAAATGGCGTATGAACCAATTGTTGGTCACCGGCTTCCATGGGACTGCATCTCCTTACGATGCTCCACTGCCTTGTGGATCAGACCCTCAGGTCGAAGGCTCCGGGTGTGGCCCCCTAAGAAAACCACCTGTTTCGGTTTGGGCACCCGGGCAGTATCAAAGCCCTCACACATATCGAATGAGATTTGTGTGGCGCATATGTATTGGTGCCTCTTTGTACAAATATCTATGTGATGAAATAAATAAATAAATAAACCCTTTTGGTTACATAGAACAAATTGATCGATATCCCATAATGTTGTTTCGTACATCTTTGAGGGTTCGAAACAAAATATTTGGAGCTAAATCAAATGTTCAATTAAATAGATTATAATATTCTAAAATTCAAAAACAATATTGAACACTACAGATCATTTTTCACAAGTACTTTTATATAATCATTGTAATTAACACCGTATCCAATATCAGTAGTCAATCGTCTAACGAAAAAAAATCCAGGAAACTCATCTTGAAGCCAGTCCTTAGTGATCAAATGTTAATTACCAGTATAGGGTTGTAGAGATTGTTGAGTTTCAATTGATCTCATGGATGAACGAATGTTAAACCATCACTGAAAATCAGGATTCGCACTGCTGTGGAATCTCACACTAAGACGAAATGACTGTCCATTGCTTCCAGATTTTCAATGGTGGTCTAACATACATTCATTCATGATATCAATTAAAACTTAACAATCTCCATAACTTTATACTAAAAAAACACAATTGAAATAATACTCTTTTTGTTAAGTGGATTTAGTCATGAGTAATTGACTATTTGACTGTTCTTGAAGAAAAAAGTATGATTTTCACGATGCTACCAATTGGTTCATGAATCCGAAATTTTAACTAATGAATATAGGATATGTGTCCACCCAGCTAGTTATAAAAATCAAATGTTTCATACAATTTATATATGGGTAAACATTTCTAGAATGTTTTTGTTCATAATGTTATTAGCAATAAATAAAAACTTTTTGTGAGTATAAAACTTTAATCTGGATGTTATGTAGCTTGACGTAAAATATTAATCATGTTGGAAAGCTGAAGCATATCTTTAGAATTGTATATTGACTATATTCAATAAAAGATGAGAATTTCCTTATCAATGTTTTCTCCAAATGGTATTTTTTCCAAACATTAACACTTCTCGGTCGTATGTTGACAAAATTAGAATATTCATTTGAGTTTTATCATTCGTTTGAAAATGAATTCAATCAAGAATGTCATTAAATCAAATGATTCTACTCAGTTGAAGACAAAACCCAGTTCACAATGTTTGAAAAATGTCGTCGATAAGTTCATAACAAATTCTGATTCAGTTTTACTGATTTAGTTTACATGTTATTTGTTACTTCCTTAATTTACCAAATTTGAATTAATCTCATCACGGATGTTTTTTTTTCAGTGAATCTTGATAAACGGATTTGTTGTTTGATAGATGCTTGATGCAAGAGATATTATCAGGGAAATAAACATTTTAAGATTATTTTTTTTAAAAATACATCATATTAAATGTTTACTGTGTTATACAGTTTTATATTGTGTCAGTGAAATACCACATTTTTGTTTGGTTAATGAATACTGAATTGTAGTGGCTTTGCTTCGTTACTTAATCACCCCAATAACCGTTATAGTATGAATCACGGCGGTGATTAAAATCAAAAGGTAATGAGAAGCGACAACTACAGTTAATCAGCGAACAGCGCCGATCACAAAGCTATAAGCACATCGAGAAAATTTGAAGCGGAGATGCAAATAAGTATCTCCAAGCAAATACATAGGTAAATTTATATTCGAATTGTATAAGGGTGCAGCAAGGCAAAGCAAGGACTAATAATAGGATTTGAGGTACATACATACGTGGGGAGGAGGGTGAATTATGGGGTGATATTTAAGCAATCAACATTTTATCTAGAGTCTGTCATATGAACTAGTGATCATAATAGTACAAAGAAATATGGGAGTTGTTACTGTTCAAATAACATTGTCTCTTAAGTAAGCTAATAAAAGGGCTTAACCAAAATTGACCATAATTGAAATTGGTTGTAGGATAGTTGCTATAGTATAACTGTGACTAGTCTGTAGTCCTGCAGCAATCATTGGAATTAAATAAGTTTGGAAATTTTTTTAAAAATGAACCTATAGTACTGAGAATAATGAATTCTTTCAATGTATATTCTTCATTATGCATATACAGACAATAACCTCAGGTACATCTGAATGTTGTATTTGGTCTAATTCAAATAGGACAAAGTGCTCCTTTTAAAATGTACTACTAATCACAGATAATATTAGCCGATAATTCATTCCTATTTTTCTTCTCAAATAAAGAAAATAAAAAGTTATTACATCAAGAGAAATCCAACAATTTATTCACAGCTTCTCACAGTATATTGTCTGCACGATATGCTTACCTGCTTATGGTCTTTCATAAACTTCATTAATATACAATTTTATTAATAACGATTTAGTGTAATATTTAGTGCATTTGCACAAATATTTTTGATAACTTTTTTAAAAGACACCTACCTTAAAGTCTTTCAAGCCATTGAATCATTTAGTAGCGACAAATTATTATTGTTCCTGTTCTGTTGTATATATATATACTCATATCATTGTAAATCAACGGAAAATGTAAAGTATGATAAGCTGTGTACTTGTCAATGATTCTCGAAATAGATACACAAAAAGTGGCTGTCAATTCAACTCTGTCATATTCATTAAAAATGAAGTAACTTAGTAGTAAATTTTTAACTGTAACATTGGGTATTATTATGCAAAAAAAATTAACAGAGTTGTTAATATTTTAAAGGATTGTTGGTATGGATTATAAGCTGGCGTTAAACTCAACTTAGGATAGTTATATGTAATATGAATGAGAATACATTCTGTTAGAGAAATAATAGTGAACAGACCAGTTAGCACGTTGCGGAAAACATCAAACTTCATCACGAGGCAAGCGCTATCTTGAGACCTTGAAGGGAAATAGAAAAGAGGAAAATTAAGCAACACATTACTTCAGGAATTGGAAGGAGACATGAAAAGGATGAATAGAAACTGGAAGCAACTTGTAAGGATTGCTCAGGACAGATTTGAATGAAGAATGCTGGTGGTCGGCTTATGCTCCTCCACGAGGGATAACAGATGTAAGAAAAGTAAGTTATCAAGTTCACACATTCATCGAATTCATTTGATAAATGTCTGAAGAAAATGTCACAAAATACCGAGAGGAAAAAATGCGTCAAGCTCAAATAAAATTTTGAAGTAAAGGTAGATATTTTTTAAGTGTAAAGTCATTAAAAGAAGTTTTCTTAAATTCAGAACTACTTGAATCTATACATGAAGAGTTGATTGAGTAGCTAATTTGATGAACTAAAAATAGTCCAACAGCCTAGAATATTGTTTATTAATCCGTATGAAACCAAAACATGGTTGACAGATAAGTCACACAGTTTGGTGTCATAGACACATAAGTAAATGTTTTCATTATTCAGTAGAGCACAACACTTTTCAGGATCTCATGGTTTGTGAATATTAAAATAAAGCGTAGAAGAATCGAATTCTAAAAAACATCTCAAGTATCTAAAAATTAATTATTAATAAGCACAGGAACGTCGTAAATGAGTACAGTATGTTAGGGTTAAGGTTTTGTTCATTTATAAGGATTACTAACACAAATTCACAAATGGCTTTACACTATTGTTATAAACTTAATGAAAGTAATAATCGAAATGTATAATCATATAAAGTGAAACAATCTGTAGCCAGAATACTCCACGTTGAGCGATTTTATAGATATCACTGAAGAGAAAAATATGTTTGCTTGCATGATTGATTACAAGAATACTTATCTTCGACAGCGTTTTGTGAGAATGCTATCATTGGTCATTTTGGTTGCTGTGAGCATATATTACATGTTCTGTTGTCTGTTTGTTACTGTCATAGTTGAAAATCTTTTGAGCAGTACTTCTGATGCCATTTTATGAGTCACTCTAAGGGTACTTTAGTCAGACAGGAAGTTTGAAAACAAAAAATTGTATGACTACTTATTTTACCAGTTTAATTAAACTATTCAGCCTTATAAACTCATGATTATTACCAAAAACAAACTCTGAAAGATTCTATGGGGATCATTTTTTATATTTAGTCATCTGCTTCAACATGTCTACGTTTATACTTTAAAGATGAAGCAATTTGGGTGAGATTTCAGAAATAATAATTTATACTTAATATGGTTCATTTATACCCTTTAAGGATCTCAAAATTCATACTGACATCACTCATCCATGCAAACGCTACAGTGATATGAGAATAAGAATTTGAAGACGGCTGATTATCAATTCATATAAACAAACCTAATTAGCGCTATTTCATTGTGACCTGTAACAGCTTAGTAATAATGTTAGTAACTTTATTGTTGTGTGGAAAAATCTCCAGCTTTCACTATGGTTTTCAAGCTTGTTGTTGATTCATGCAAGCTGGTATGAAATCTACATAAATATCTTTTATTTTGATGATATACTGGTTTATTAAACTCTACTATTCATACCAAGTAAAAGATTTGAGTCAGCATTACGAATTATATTTCATCACTATGAATTACTTAGCAAGATATTTCTCTTTTCTAAACAGGTTTCTGTAAATCTAAATATGGGTTTAGATGACCAAATATAATTCATTACTTCCATTTATATCTTTTGTATACTCTATGCATTGCATTATTGTGAATTATTTTTAATGTGTTTTCTTATATTCTAATTTCATTTAGTTTACTCACGAGAAGAACTGGCACGTTATTTAAATCATATGTTACAAGAAGAAGAAGCATCTATGAACAAACTGCCAATTTCTCCTTTGCGATTTGGATAATAAGGTTAATGGAATCAAGAATAGAACTAAATTAAACTTTATGTTCAATTAATTGTGAATGTTATGGTAAAGAAAATAAAACGATTATTCATTTGGTATTTGATTCACTTTATATGATAGTTCTTGGGACTTATACATTTAGGTCGATTTCTATATATTAGATATGAGAATTTTTAGTTTGTTAAGCTTTGAGTTATATTCTTTCTAAAAGATTACTTAAAGATATGGATGCGTAATAGGATTGTATATCGATTTCTGTGTTAAGCATGCCCATTACAACTTTATAATTTAGAGATTTTTGTAGCTCAAATGGAATACTTTTCATTGTGAACTATTTACCATTCAAAGGTCATATAGGCTACTTAATATTGGATCACTCATCATTCATATCATTTTAAACATGAATAAATATGACATTCATTAAACCTGATACACTGTCAATTGATCGGTTACTACTTCTAAGAATATACTTAAACTTGTTATTAAACCACTTAAGTAAAATACAGTATAATATGGAAACCTCATATACTTCTAAATAATGTTCATAGACAATTTATTTCTCATTGGTATATTAGTTGAAAATTATTTTATATTAAAAGGAACAAACTAAACATTTTATGGTTGAAAGTGTTATAATTTTAAAATATATATCCTCCAAAGGTAACAGATATGTGTATTGAAGGTGATCTTCGAATTACACATTGGAAAAATAGTAATTCTAATTTGGCTTTTCGTAACCGCTGTCTCTCAAGCTATGTTTGCCCATGTGTACGAAATCTGACGAATAATTTATGTTCATGGTTCATTTCTCTACCATTTGTTATGTAGTTAATGCGTCATCGGAAGTTTTTCAACACATTTTGGCTATAGATATTACAAGGACCTGTTTTGGGTTCAGTGTTTGAATGTTCTTTTACGTTCCTATCTCACACTAACATGTAGAAAACGTACGTTTACATGTTAATTTTTTCTTGCTGAGTCGACAATACTAATTTTACGTTGATTTCCATAGTTTTCATCGACTGAATGTATAAATATATAAATCGTAGAATTTAGCGTTCAGATTAAATTGCCAATATGCCTTAATACAATTGTTTAAGTGATAAACATGTTTAACTTATCACTTTCTGTTGAAGTTTAAGGCATAAGTGTATAAGTCATTATGGTTCAGGGTTTGCATATACAAAACCTTTAAAAAATCATATTAGTCAAGTTATTATTATCTTATTTTCTGGAAATCGTGTACAATAATGATGACTAAAATGAGAAGAATAGTTTAGTAAATGAAATTGGCCTACCGCTCTCGATAGTCTAACATCTGACAAACTTAACTGAGGTATTGTGTACTTGATTAACGGTCACATTGTAGAATTTAGTCATGACTAATGGCTAAACAAAACGATGGTGGTTACTATTCACTGATCAAACTTATATAAAGGACTTTGTCTTACAGCGACTGCTAGGATACATAATTACTCCAATACTATAATCAACTAAATGTAATCCATCACTTTGCAAACTAATGTATTTTTAATAAAGGTGTATTCTGCAACAGTTTACTTCCATACCAACATTATCATCTGAATAACTCCGCCTGTAGCTCTTCTAGGGTTACTGACGGTCCCAAGACTGGATAAAGAAGGAGGTTTGAGCATGTGGTCAGCAACCCCATCCAGTAAAAAAACCTTACTAAAAATTACTTGCCAGAAAAAGCAATGTCAACCACTTTAACCCTGCCCTCAGAGTTGAAGGGTCTTCAATGCGAAGAAATATGATGCTTCAAGGTGCAAGTTGGGATTCTTCAGAAGTCACAAAGCCATTGCCCTTTCTAACAATCAAGGCAGCAATTAATATATGGGTGTGGAATGCCCGGACAATGTGGGAGAACGAGAGGACCAAACAAATAGCTGAGTAGATGAGCAGATACAACCCGGTGGTTCTCAGAATCAGTGAAACCCATTGAACTGGACAGGAAATATTTGATTCAGGAGAGATTCTGTTGTACTTCAGTCACTGTGCCAAATCAATGACATTTAACCGGTATGAGCAGCCTAGCATCCTCATTGATCCTATATCCGCCTAGCCCGTCCATTTGAGTCCAGAACACCAATATCAGCTTGAACTATGCGAATCATACATTTCAAACATACTGTGTTTATATATCAAACAAACAGACCGTAACGCACCATAAAATAGGAAATAACATTTGTACACAATAAAACCAAAAAGTGGCTGTGAACGTGGGAGACAGTAGTTAATAAACTGAGCATAATTTAGGGACAGTAAATCGTATAATAATAATTCATAGGTCAAAATGAAGCTTATAATGAGAGGAATATAAATATATAATCTAATTATTAAATAATTATACAACAAGAATATTTATAGAATACTGATCCATTAATAGTCTTCGGAAGTTATCCGTAATTAAATCTGCACTAGGATATAATAACAAACCTGATGGGAGACTGAAATGCCAAAGCGGAATAAATAACAACGAGTATGAAGATATCATGGGATGACATAGGCTGGGACAGACAAATGAAAATATGGAGAGCTTTGCACACACATGTGCATTCGAGAACTTGGTTATGGGCCGCTCAATATTCCCACACAAATGCATACACAATGCTACATGGGTTTCACCGGACCACACCACGAAGAACCAGATAAATCATATTTATGTCAATAAAAACTTCCGAAGGACAAAGGGATATGTGAGAACCAGGAGAGAAGCTCCCAATCACCACCTGGTTGTTGCCAAGATGAAAGTGAAGCTGAAGAAATACTAGAAAGCTGGGGAAACAGCGTTACAAGGGTTCAATTTAGTCTTCCTACGAGATACTAACAAAATCAACGAATTTAAGATAACTCTCAACGACGGACACCTAGGTGAATCTAATAGTGTCATGGCTCAAAAAACAGATAACGGCGACCGTCTGTTGCAGCTTTGCTCAGATAAGCGCCTGTTACTTGTAAATACTAACTTTAAGCATAAGGAAAATCATCTTTTAACATGGCGGTCCCCTAATTCGTCCCAACGTTGGACCCAAATAGATCACATCGCTATCAGCCACCGATGGAGGGGCTCGATAGAAGACTGTCGCTCATTCTGGAGCACATGCTTAGATTCAGATCATGCTCTAGTACGAGCGCGTATTTTCCTGCATCTTACCGGACGTAGGCCCCTCTTAGTGTCCTACTTAATGATAGTCAAGCTGAGAGTATATTTCAGGAACAACTAGGAAAACAGTTAGGCAGCCATGTATGTGATGCCCACCCCGAGGAAGCATGGAATGATATCCGAAAAGCTGTGGAAACAGCAGTGATATCTGCTAGTAAGGTAAACCAGAAGGTTAGAGAGCAACAGTGGATTCCAGCAGCATCTATGGCACTGATAGATGCTCGGAAACTCATTCCACCTGGCTCTGAACATAATGAAGAGCGGAGTCATCTTAAGCGCAAGCTGACAAGAAGTCTACGCAATGATCGTGAACAGTGGTGGGTAGCGAAAGCAAGAGAGATGGAAAAGGCAGCGGCAATAGATAATAGCAGACAATTGTTCAGGCTTGCTAAAGAAACTGGTATTAGGAACCCGACTGTTAGCGAAACACTCTCAGAGAAAGATGGACATATTATTCATTCTCAATCCAGGAGATTGGATCGATGGGCAGAACACTTTAGGGATCAGTTCAACTGGCCTTCAGCCACACTTCGGTTTCCCACGATCTCCAGTCAACCTGAATGGCAAGTTAATGTAGGTCCTCCGTCTCTTTATGAAGTTGAAAAAGCCATAGGAAATCTGAAACGAGGGAGAGCAGCAGGCCCTGACAGGTTTACTCCTGAGATTTTTAAGGATGGTGGTCCAGTATTAGCAATGAGATTAACCGAGGTCTTAGGTAGAATTTGGGAACTGGACGTAATCCCATCTGACTGGTCTCAATCACTGATTGTGCCAGTTTATAAGAAAGGACAAAAGTCCTCTTGTGACAATCACAGAGGAATCAGTTTGACTAATATAGTTTCTAAAATATTAGCTTCAATAATACTTCGACGCCTAATCAAAGCTCGTGAAGAGCAGACTCGAGAAAATCAGGCTGGTTTTCGACCTGGACGTGGTTGTATAGATCAGATATTCACACTACGTCAGGTTCTAGAACACAGACACACATTTAGACGCCCCACAATGGTAGTATTTCTCGATCTTAAGGCGGCATTCGACTCTGTTGATCGTAAGGTTCTATGACAGTGTTTGTCACTGAAAGGAGTACCAAAGAAGTGCATTAAGCTTATACAGGCTCTCTACTCGAACACAACTGGTAGAGTGGAGATTATGGCGAACTGTCATCAGAATTGATTACCTCAAGTGGTGTTCGTCAGGGCTGTTCACTCTCTCCATTCTTGTTCAACTTTGTGGTCGACGTACTTTTAGAGATAACACTTTCCTCATCTAAATTTATAGGGGTTGAACTTCTACCGGGAGGTTCACTTGTTGACTTAGAATATGCTGATGACATAGTTTTATTTGTCGAAGACGCTGACAAAATGCAGAGTCTTCTGACCACTCCAAGCAACAATGCAAGCATGTTCGGGATGCGATTCTTTCCCTCGAAATGCAAAATGTTGCTTCAGGATTGGGTTGCATTGACACCCGAACTAATGATAGGGAGTGAAGTAGTTGAGTGTGTCGACCGCTTCACTTATCTTGGAAGTCTCATCAGCCCTTGTTGTCTGGTGTGTGACGAAATCTCAGCACGGATACAGAAGACTCGACTAGCTTTTACCAACTTGCGTCATTTATGGAGTAGGCGAGATATCCGTCTATCAACCAAAGGATGTGTTTACTGTGCAGCAGTTCGTTCCGTCCTACTTTATGGCAGTGAAACATGGCTGATAAGAGTAGAGGATATCCGTAGGTTACCAGTACTTGATCATAGGTGTCTTCGAAATATTGCTCGTATATCCTGGGACCATCGAGTAAGTAACGCAGTTGTTAGGAAACAGGTACTGG